AAAAATTAACTGTGGGCAAATAATAAATTTCTGCGCAATTTTATCGCCACAGGTACCCTCGTCCGCCTAATCTCGTTCTGTTATGCTCAAAGCTTTGTGTATCTTGGTGGTTTTGCTGTGCTCTGCTCTCACGTTTGTCCTTTTTTTTATATTAATAAAATTCAAACTTGACGCCAATATGCAATTCATAATTTTCTTTTTCTATGTAAATGTTTTATTTACTTTTTAGTGAGTTTCGAAAATGTAAAAGTATCAATTATTGAAGACGCGATATACATCACAAAGAAGGGGGTGAACATATCATACACAATCATGATTGAATTAATCATGCACTGATGATATCCAATCGAGATAAAAGTCTCTTCTTAATATCAATATGAAAATTAAAGAGAGAATTTATTGGAGACATTTTAATAAGGAGATTTATTTAATTTTTCTGCGTTTCTTTACAAAAAAAATGTCAATAAAGAAATTTACCTTAATGAATGAGGAAAACATTTTCAACATTGGAATTCAATAAGAAAATACCTTGTTTAATGAATCCTTTTGGAATTGATTCTTCAAATAATGACAACGTTCAGATTGACAAAACTGACGAAAATTTAATAGGATGAATTTTGTAAAAATATATATTTCTAGGCCCTCTTTTAACAAGAACAAAATGAAAATTGAAGAACAAGAAAAATAATTAAAATGTGTAATTGAATTTGAAATTATTATTGATTTTCAATATACGGATTGAATTTATTTGTGCTCTATTTTCAACATTGGAATTCAATAAGAAAATACCTTGTTTAATGAATCCTTTTGAAATTGATTCTTCAAATAACGACAACGTTCAGATTGACAAAACTGACGAAAATTTAATAGGATGAATTTTGTAAAAATATATATTTCTAGGGCCTCTTTTAACAAGAACAAAATGAAAATTGAAGAACAAGAAAATAATTAAAATGTGTATTGAATTTGAAATTACGTATTGATTTTCAATATACGGATTGAATTTATTTGCACTCTATTTTCGTGCTTTTCACAATAGGAAAAACAATTTTTTAGCCAAAACCAAGTTAATATTTAGTATTAACTATATTATTAGTATCCAATTTTTGCAAAAATGAGGATAACATTGAAACGACTCTACCGATCTATAGAAAACTTAACAGAGGGTAAAACACTATAAACTACAAGCAAAGGCAAACATTTGGCTGCCGTAAATAAATTAGAGCCGGAGATATAAATTAAAAATTTTAAGGAGTTTCAGTGGATTTATCCTCATATTTTTCACTTAAAATAAAATAAAATCAAAACCTTGTTAACAAAGCTTGAAAGTAAAGATATTAAGCTTTCTAACAATTGTAATACATATAATTTGTGTACAATACATATAATGTAATACAATATATATAATTTGTGAGGTATTTTTAAATGAAACACCAAATATCGGCGAGAAAAAGTCCCCGGAAAATCCAGCCAAAAATGGCTATTTTTTTGTTGCCATATAAATTCATATTTAAAGGGTGGATAGGATGATTATGACGAATCCGAAATGTTTTGGATTTTTAAACAAAAATGTTTGTTGGCCTACTTCGCTGGAAACTTCTTGTAGTTTTGTCAATTTTTACATATCTCATATCCTTTAATACGATCCTGCATATTGTTTTCTTATCTTACGTAAAAAACCAAATTGACACGAATATAATAACCTTGAAATACATGCATATCGAAGACAAAAGCCCATACTACAAAATTAAAAGTTTAAAGGATATAAAATATTTTTTCTCGACTCCTAGTGCCCATTGGCAATATGCACTATATATGCTCCATAAATACGCGGCAGTACAAAACAAAAATGAAAATTGAAAGTAATTGGTAAAATTGTCAATATAAAAGAAAGAAAAAAGAAGAAATAAAAAATTAGAAACTTTCAAAAATATGTACTATAAAAATACGTGATCTTCTTCGAATTGATTTTTGCAAAACTACACTGAAAATTATTGCAATATTGGAATCTAAATACAAAATACTTGACTGACTTACGAACAAAGAAACGTCGACCACACATCGTAGTAAATTGAAAATTTATTGATTTACTTTTTTAAATAAATTTTCCATAAAAATACAGGACTTACGGAATTTCACTTAGCCGGGAAAAAGTACAAATGTAAACAATAAATGACTGTCAGAATTAAAGAAACATTCCTAGCACTCATGGAGCGTTGACTGTTAGAAGAACATTTAAAACCAGTAAATAAAAATATTAACTATATAATAACATCCAAAATAATATAATAAATATCTAATCAAAATCAAATTAAACGGCTTAATTTTGTAACGAACTTAATATAAAAATACCCGTCTTTTACCGAATTTCACGTAGTGTAAAAAATTATTACAAATGTAACCAATGTGTAAATTGCCAGATTTAAGGTATTTTTTCTGAGAATCATTGAATGTTTTTACGGAATTTCACATAGTGGAAAAAATTATCATTTAAAACAGAATTTTTTTAATTAAAAACGAAGATTAAGAGTCTAAACGTTTTGTTTGTTTTTGTTTTATTAATTTAAATTTTACAAAAAATTTTATAAAAACAAAAAATTCGTAAACTAACAGATTTACAGAATCGTTCCTGTCAAACATAAAGTGTTTATTAATATAAGAACATTTAAAACTAATTTATTTTTCAACAATAACATGAAATTGAAAGAAAAACGTAATTTTCAAACGAATTTTCCATCGCGTTTTTTAGAATGAACCGAAAACGTGGGCAAAAATGTAAACAATGCATAAACGTAAGATTTAAAGAATCATTCTTGAAGTGTTGACTCTCATAATTGGAAAATTAATTTTATTAATTAAGAATTTAATTCTCTAAGCAAACTTTCCATAAAAGTACACGTACTTTAGAACAAACAGGTAAAAAATGGACAAAAACGTAAATAATGCGCAAACTTAAGATTGAAAGAATCGTTCTTGTCAGTCATGAAGTGTTGACTCTAATAATTGGAAAATTAAAGAAGGATTTAATTTTTTTAAGCAAACTTTCCATAAAAATACACGTCCTTTAGAACAGAGGTAAAAAATGGACAAAAATGTAAATAATGCATAAACTGCCAGATATAAAGAACCATTCGTGGCAATCGTAGAGTGTTAACGATCGGAAAACAAATGAAACGAATTTTTTTTAAATAATAGTTTGAAAATAAATAACCTAATTTTTAAACGAACTTTCCTTAAAAAATGCGTCTTTCATCGCGCGCAAGAATGAAAACAATGCTTAAACTGTCAGATATGAAGAATCATTCCTGGCATCATGGAGTGTTAATCGTCAGAAATTGGTTTCACTTTTTTTAAAAATAATAACTTGAAAAAGAGGTGCTTAATTTTTTAAACAAACTTTACATTAACAAAACGCGTCTTTTAGAGTAGACAGACAAAAATGTAAACAAAGCTTAAACTGTGAGAATTAAAGAACCCTTCCTATCAACCATGAAGTGTTGACTCTCATAATTTGAAAATTAAAGAAGGATTTAATTTTTTAAGCAAACTTTTCATAAAAGTACACGTCCTTTAGAACAGACAGGTAAAAAATGGACAAAAATGTAAACAATGCATAAACTGTCAGATATAAAGAACCATTTGTGGCAATCATGGAATGTTAACGATCGGAAAACAAATTGAAACGAATTTTTTTAAAATAATAGTTTGATAATAAAGTACCTAATTTTTAAACGAACTTTCCATAAAAAATGCGTCTTTCATCGCGCGCGACAAGAATGTAAACAATGCTTAAACTGTCAGATATGAAGAATTTTTCCTGGCAATCAAGGAGTGTTAACAGTCAGAAATTGGTTTCAATTTTTTTTTAATAATAACTTGAAAAAAAAGGACTTTTTTAAACAAACTTTACGTTAATAAAAAGCGTCTTTTAGAGTAGACAGACAAAAATGTAAAGAAAGCTTAAACTGTGAGAATTAAAGAACCCTTCCTATCAATCATGAAGTGTCGACTATCAGAAGACCATTTAAAATCAATTTGCTGTTAAATAATAATTTGAAAATTAAAGGACTGAATTTTTTGAACAGTCTATAAACGGAATTTCACGGAAAACAATTACTACAAATGTAAATAATATGTACTTAACAATATGGACTTAATTTTAAATAACTCTCCATGCAAGTACACGTACTTTAGAATAGAGAGACAAAAAATGGACAAAAATGTAAACAACACATAAAGAATTATTCCTGCCAATCATGGAGTGTTAACTCCACAATTTTTGTTTTTAAATATAATCTGAAACTTGAAGAAGGCCTTAATTTTTTAATAAACTTTCCATAAAAGTACATTTCCTTTAGAATAGACAGGTAAAAAATGAACAAAAATATAAATGAATAAATTACCACATATAAAGAATCATTCTTGGCAATCATGGAGTATTAATGATCAGAAAAAAAATTAAAAATGAAACTAATTAACTGAATTTTTTTTAAATTTTGACTGTGCAGAAAATTTATCAGAAGCGATGACACGCATAGTAACCTCCAATTGTTTATCTTAAACTTTGTCAAAAAAATATTTTATTGCATACATTCCTGAAATTAAACGCGATTTCAGTTTCTTCATATCCGATTAAAATTTAAAAAAAATAAATAAACAAGCTAAAAGAAAGCATGAATCGTTCGTTTGTTGGAATGGATTTTTTTTCGTTGTAAAAAGGGTAGGCGCTGGAGGCTTCTTAAGATTCCAAAGAAGAAACACATGTTAGAAATTTTTTTTAATAAAAGGAAGATTTTTTGAACATTTGTGGCATATAAGACTTGTTCCTAGTTTAAAAATAAAATAAAATAACCTATTGTTAAAAGTTTGCCCGGGTGTCAAAGAGCGCCAAAAAAATGTTGAGGTTAACAAAAAATTTTTTTTTTTTTTAAAGGAAATTAGGCAAAAAACGGTATAGTTTCAAAAACAAATCATTAAATTGAAATTTGTCAAAAACTCACCGCCAAAAACGCCGACCGGGGCTGAAATAAACACGCGATCCCCTCGGAGTAAAAAGGATGAGAAGCCGGGAGTGAAGCTGCAAACAGTTTGAATAAATTAGATACAGTGCCCGCTCCGGGACCCCTTCCTCTTCTAGGAGCGACCATGGCGCTATCTCTTGCCCAGGTGGCGAACTGCAAACGGCGAAACGCCCATGCGCGCTACTTGTAACAGTCCGCCGAGGTTACAATCGGCGAAGGTTTTGTTTCTAGTCGCCTTTCATGCTCTGATATAGAATAAAAGCTAAATGACTTGTATTCCACCCGGGACGGCGACTCTCCTCGAAGAGCTTGACAGTGAGTATTTTAATCCGTAATATTTAATTAAAATTAATTTAAAAGCTGTGTTAAAATCTACGTTGAAGTCACCGAATAAACTTATCAACCGATGCCAAACATATACAGTTCTGTACCAATTCGATCCTGCATTCTACATCAAAAATTCAATAACAGAATATGTATTCAATGTATCGTCGTGTTTTCATTTAGGACTTGATCTAGACTTTGTTTTTCAAGCAGAAACATCTTTCCATGTTTCATTTCCTTTTTTACTTATTCAAATTAAATATTTTGTACTAAGCTACTTGTTGACCTCATATGCAAACCAAATGAAAGCGGAATTTATACCCAAGGCAGATGATATTGTCATATTATTCAGAACTGTAAAAGTAGTTTTTATTCTGAAGGTTGCAAGGCAAAACTACAGATGGAAATTCATATAGACCGATCGGTATAACATCCTTTGTACTCAAAACACTCCTTACGAAGCAATGGTTACATCACTCAAATAGCGAGGACTGATAAAGCCTGTTGCAGATAGAATCAATGCTAAAAAGCAGAAAGGTGCAAGCCTTCATGTAAAACGAAAAAGTAGAAGCAGTAAAAATAATTTTTATTCTGAAGGTTGCACGGAAAAACTACACAGATGCAAAATCATTGAACAACCAAGAAATAGCGAACCTTCTTGGACATTGGAGTAGCATTTGATAACACTCCTTTCAAAACAATGGTTACATCACTCAAACAGCAAGGAACTGATAAAACCTGCTGCAGATGGATAGAATGAATTCTAAAAAGTAGAAAAGTGCAGGCCATGTTCCATGAAAATGTAGAAGCAGGTGTGGCAAGATGTCCGCAAGAAGGAATTCTCTCGCCTCTGCTGTGGTAAGCGGTAATGGATGACTAATATGCAAACTAAATGAAAATGGAATTTATACCCAAGGCTGTGCAGGTGACATGGTCATATTAGTAGGGGGGAAATTCGACACAACATTAAAAGAGCTCTAAGCATAATGGAACAATGGTGTTCACAACAGTGACTTAAAGCAAACCCCTCGAAAACTACCTAATTGCTTGTACCAAGAAAGGAAACATAGAAATACAAGGCCTACATTTCTATAATGAAACCCTATGTTTAAAAAACGAGGTTAAATACCTAGGAATAATCTTTGATAAGAAATTAACTTGGAACCTTACCTGCAATACCATAGCAAAAAGTAAAATATCGCTAATGACCGCAAGAAGAACCTTAGGCAAATCTTGTGGATTAAAACCAAAAATGGCCCACACTCGACAGTAATAAGATCCAAAATAACCTATGGATCATTAATCTGGTGGATTAAAGCTCAAAAAATACCTACCCAAGGCTGCATACAAAAATTAGCAAACCTACGTATCACAGGGGCAATGAAAACATCCCCTACAACTGTACTAGAAACTCTGCTAAACCTACCTTAATTGGAAACATTTGTACAAGGAGAGGCTAGGAAAAGCTCATTTAGGCTCCAAAAACAATCAAATTGGATAGGAACAAAACAGTTCAGGCCCATAACCATAATTAATAAAATCAGACACCCATTCTTACAAATGGGGAGTGTCTATATGATCCCGAAAACTTTCTTTCAACATCCTATAAGTCTCAGCAGACGATAAAGGAGAGGAAGAACTCAGGACTGCATCAGATTGAAAACGCCACCACAGTCTATGGATATAAATGCAATAGAACACCTACCTATTGGACCTAAAAGTTAAAAAAAGAAATAAAATTTCCTCAAAAAATGTGTTGAAAGAAACTTTTCTGAGGAATGGCCGTCATAGATGCCAATAGTATGATGACCAAATATTTGTGGTATCCTTAGTGGTATGTTCATAAAAACATTACTTTTTTTTTAACAAATACAATTGCAAGCACAATGCACAAGACAATACCTTTATTCATAGTCTTATATATTACACTACTGGGGAAAAATTGTAAAAACCTATGACTAATATTTTCTATAGTGATACAAATAAATAAGTCTTAAACTCCGATCTCTACTTATTTGAAATTAAAAATAAGCTTTGCCCATACTTATTCATTATATTCAATTTTAATTCTTCTTGTAGTTCAAATATTGTAAAAAGAATGCATCATAGATTCAAATCTATGAATGATTCATTTACAGTTGCTGGGGGGCATCTGTTGGAATTCCCTTCCGCTGTATTGGTCGGCCCACCCCCTTTAGGCTTTCAGGCGTGAATCTTTTCAACTTTTCTGCAAACAAACCTTGATTTGATCAAACTAACTCAACATGATCTTATTATTATTCTCTTTTATACTTTCCCTTTATACATACTTCTCTCCTTTATTCATATTCAGCTATGTTAATTTCATATAAATGTTGTTTATTAATTATTATTTGTTGCATTACATTTTGTTATTTAATTATTTTATATTTTTCTACTCACTGTAAAGCTCTATTGTGATTTTTTTTATTAATATATGTATATTTTATTTCTTCTAAGTTTTGATTAGGCTAAAAGTCATAAAACAGAAAACTAAGTAGATAAAATACACAAGTTTAAAAAATCAGTCCACTTCATGTTTGAACGCAATTCACTGATTCACAACTGCATAAACATTCCTTTAATGTGGTGCTTAAAAGCTGACAGGATGGAATAATGTTATGGTTACGGTCACTAAACGCATGGAATAGCATTGCATTATGTTGCTCAGGTTGCCTGAAGCTACTTCTATGCAGCAAACAATAAATGCAAGATTTAATATTTTTTAGAATGTTTCAGGTGTAATAATCTCTTTTTATGGATATTTTTATATATATGGATATAAATTTCTTTAAAAAAATAAAAGCAGCCATGCCACACGAAGGGATACATCACTGAAAATATCAGTACATCAGTACAAGATTGTTTAGATCATGCAGAAAAAATAAATAACAATTGTGAAATAAATACAACTAGGGCAAGTAATAAATCTCTGCGTTCAGAATTTTCATTGTTATTAATTTTAATGTGGAGACAGATTTTTCAATATTGTAAATATAAGTTTTTCTTTCATTCAATAAAACTCAGAGAAGAACTCAACAATTTATTGTTATTACAGATAACAGAATTATCAAGGAATGTAGTTAGGTCATTTCTGATTATCCTGGTTGGCTTATTCTCGCTGTTTTGGTCTGTCAGACCTGTTTCAGCATATCCACATTTTCAGAGGTGGACTTCTGTTCGAAAGGGCTCCTTGTATATGGCATTTTTGATCCCTTTTTCGTGCAATCAAAAACTTGTTTGTTTCAAAAAATTGTTTCTCTTAGATGGACTAGTAGTATGATTTAATAATAAACCAGTTTTAATTATAAAACTCTAATCAGACATCCATGTTTTTATCTTGTTCCTGTTTATGTATGTTATTCTATCAACCACATTTGATGAGGCCCTGAGGTAGAGAAAAGCTAGAAATAGGGGGGGGGGAGAATTGGTTACCATTAAATCATAAAACGTCATAACTTGGCAATCAATCAAAGAAATTAGTACATTTAAAAAGCGAGAAATATAAGAAAATATGTGCAAAGCTAAGAAAGATAGGGGTAGTGATGACCAATGTAGTTCACCAACCTTAAAACTAAAAAAAAGTTTCAAAAATATATAACTATAAACTTGTTGGTACATCATAATATTTGAAAAAATTGACTATTTCTGTACATGTTACGTAATGGTTAAATAAAAACTGTTGTTTTTCCCATGAATTTAGCAGGCAATATAAATTGTTTTCTTGATTTTCCAGAGAAACTCATGGTCGTTTTGAGAGATGGAAGAACGTTGATTGGTTATTTGAGAAGCATTGACCAGTTCGCTAACTTGGTACTGCACAAGACAATAGAAAGAATTCATGTAGGCAAAGAGTACGGCGATATTCCACGTGGTGTATTTGTTATCCGTGGTGAGAATGTTGTCCTTTTAGGAGAAGTTGTAAGTACACATGAATTTTCTTTTTTTTATCAGCAAATTGCTTATTTTTTTACATTATTTTATTTTCAGAGCCAAGAAAAAGAAATTAACCTTCCTCTTAAAAGGGTCTCTGTAGATGACATTATTGATGCCCAGCGAAGGGAAAAAGAATCAAAATTGGAACAGGACAAATTAGTACAAAAAGCCCTTAGGGAAAGAGGCTTAAACTTCGCTACTGACCTCAGCCATGACGACATGTTTTAACAAAATTTCTCTTTAACTTCCCTTTATTAATTTTGAAGAAGAATTTTAACAATTTTAAAATATTTGTAAATATAAATTGTTATAAACCTTAAAGGGAAACTACTATAATTTATGTACAAGAAAAATTTTATTTTATATATATTCAAATTAAAATAATTGAATTTAACAATTTGTATGAAATTGTACTAAAAACAACCTCTTTTTTTTAATAATCCTCTAAGCTTGTGATTCAAGGTAAAAATTCCTTGTATTTTTCTCTCCAAAATGGCCCTGGGTGCAATAAATGCATATTTTATCTTAATTTTTCCTAGTTCATAAATGCAAATTATTTTAGCCTTTGTCAAAAATGTTTAGATTTTATGATATTATAAATGGGAAAAATAAGGATAAAATTTCAAAACGTTATATTTTATATCTCTGGGTCTAATATATTTGAGTAATTAATGAAGGTTTTTTTTTAGTTGAGATAAAAAAGTCAATGGCACAAGCGGGATTCGAACCCACGATCTTCGGCTAGATACGCCGCTGCTCTACCACTTGAGCTATCCTCTGATTGAGGTCACGATAGCTGAAGTGGTAGAGCAGCGGCGTATCTAGCCGAAGATCGTGGGTTCGAATCCCGCTCGTACCATTGACTTTTTTATCTCAACTAAAAACCTTAATTAATTGTAACATATTAATTAGTCAAGCGGACCACAAATTAGTGAATTTAATATTTGAGTAAGTTTATGTTATTATGTGCAGTTTAACTGTTACTCCTATAAAGTTTCCTGTGATCAGTGGAGCCATTTTATAAACTTTTTGTGATTTTCGAGAGAAAATTTGATACATTTGGCTGGTGAAAAATTATAGAAACAAGTTTTTTATTTTTTCCAGAAATTTGTATTCAGCGGGTTTTCAGGATGCAAAAAACAATTAATTACTTTGATTCTTGCTTTAAAAAAAAAAAAAATAATTAACCTGCTTTGCTAAGTATCAGCTGGCCATAGCGTGGGTTAAAATGTTAATACATTTTCACTATCTTCATGTCTAACAAGATAAACCGGCTAGCATAAGTGGACCGATATGATTGGAGATGATTTATGAATTTATCCTTGCAGAATTAATCACAATGTTTCATGTTCATATTCCTAATCAATTTATTGCTTAGTATGGACTGAGGAAACGAGGAGAAAATAAATCATTTATTAATATGTAAAACTATTTTATATTTTTTATCTTATACAAAATTATTTGCATATATTTACATAAAAACAAGTCATAAAAGAATTTTTACTTTGATGTTAGTCTAAGAAGTCACCAACAACTTGTAACCACACAACATAATTCAAAGTGTGGGATACCAATTTTCAATAACGGAAGGCTTAAAAACAGGTTTTTAATAGATTTAGTATTGACTAGTTGCTATAAATAAATATAGATATATTTACTTGGAATACAGAAAAATACTTTTGTCAAGATCAAATACTGCAATGTTTTTCTTATATATCATTCTACACTTTCTGAGCACCGAGAACAATAATAATAAATGTACAGTTCAATATGTGCAAACACCTCATTGAAACATGTATTACCTACAGAAATCATGATTTATTTTTTTATTTTTATTTATATATTGAAAAATATGTTTCGATCAGTTGAGCACACAGAAACCGTTACAAGTATATGTTCAGTTTTTGGCACATGAATTTTAAATTTTTAAATTTGCCAAAAAAATAATAAAATAAAATAAAATGCTAGAAAGAGATTTTTGATTTTAAAGCTTTTATCACACTACATGTGATTTGTACACGTTACAATGAGCCGTAAGAAATCAAAGAGACGTTTCTGGGACAAAGTTCTGAGAAGTAGCATCATTTTCACTACTTGAATCCAACTCTGATCTTTTACCACTTCCCTAAAACAAAAATTCAATTTCACTTGTATGAACTTTGAATTCTTTATACTTAAGAAACTCAAAAAGCGCTAAATAGGAGAGATTTTGATTTGGTTTTAATTATTATGCAGCAGTTTGATGTTGAGATAAAAAAAAACCAACCTGTTCTTGGTCATCTTCAGACCGATCTCTCTTGTGGCGGGATCCAGAACTCGTTGTCGAGGATGGTGGGCTCCCTCCGTCCAGGAAGAACAGGAGGGACTCTGACAGGGCCTTCTCTTCTTCTCCTCCCACGTCGCCTGAAGACGACGGGTCGAAATCTCCTGTCCTCGATGAGAAACTCAGATCCACTGGACTGGCTGTCAGGACACTGCGGCTGAACAGGTAATCCCGAAACGGGGAGGTCAAAGACTCCTCCGGTTCTTGCTCCCCACTCAAATTTGTCTTAAAAAATAAAATAATATGCAATAACATAATTAATTAATGTGTATTTCTTAGTGACTTGTTTCATAATTTGTTAGTCGTGAGGAGCAATCAAGAATGAGGTAGTTTAGAACTTAAATTCAAATTAATTAATTGACACTGACTTTTTTATCTCAACTTAAAAACCTTAATTAATTGAATTGTATTAATTGGTCAAGTGGACCACAAAAAATATGAATTTAATGATTTAAAATGAAGTATACTTCACTAAAGCTCTCCTTGGCCATTTCATTGGTCGCCGAGAATCAAATCGATAGCACGACATTTGAAAAATGGCCAAAAGGAGGGAAAATTCAAAGGTGGGGTTGAGATGGGAGGTTAATGCCCGAGTGGATCGAGGTCACGATAGCTCAAGTGGTAGAGAGCGGCGTATCAAGCCGAAGGTCGTGGGTTCGAATCCCGCTCGTGACACTGACTTTTTTATTTCAACTTAAAAACCTTAATTAATTGAATAGTAGTTTAGAACACCTTTTCACTTTTTTTCATGACGTTTCGACCTTTATTTAAGTCATCTTCAGGGCATAAAGTGTGGTGCTATTCTTGTGGTCATATTGGTCGTATTCACAACACTTTCACACAAAAGCAATATGACACCACAAGAATAGCAAGCACCGTACTTTATGCCCTGAAGATGACTCAAATAAAGGTCGAAATGTTGGAAAAAAATGAAAAAGGTGTTTTTCTAAACTACCTCATTCTTGACGATTTCAACAAATAATAAGTTTGTCTTAAATGTAAAACATACCAGGGCTGTCTTTGAGACTTCCACCGTCTCCGGTCGGCGATCCCATGACAAGTTTTTTGTCGTCCAGCCCGAATGGTTGATGTGGCACAAGTTCGAGCCTGAGAGGGCTACAACTGGTTTTCGACTCCGTGGAGTTATCATCGCTTCCTGGGGAGAAAAAAAAAATTACTAAAAGATTATTTTCCTCTTATTTAAATTTTTATTTAACAGTCTTATCTAAAGCTGGGTTCACAGATATAAAAATTTGCGTTGGGGTGGGGGGTCAATGGCCACAACGGTTTAGGCGTTGACACTGTAAAGTAACAGGTTCAAATCCAGCGGCCCTGCATTCGAACCCAACATACTTACAGAATTTTTTTTAAACACTACCCCCGAGGGTTCACATTACCTCATAGTTGAAATACCCTCAAGGGAAAAAAAGAAAGGATAAATTTTTGTGCATGTGTGGTAATTTCTGTGGATGTGGACTTGACAACGCACACAAGAATTCAATAATTTAACCCACATTCGACACACTTGCTCCGAGATCTAGTCAGTTTTTTTACTAACATCAAAGGATTTGCTCTGCATAAAGGCGCTTGATGTGGACGTTTCTGCATACAAATCATTGTCCGCCAGTCTGCTTACATTCAGTACTTTAGTGAGAGTTGTGAAGTTAATTAATAAGCCCAGAGTTGTGTGGTTCGAAATGTTTTTCAAACAAAGTGAGTAGATTTTATTGTACTATGTGGTATTATAAAATGGGAAAAAAAAAAACAAAGAAAAAACAGCGCTACTGGATCAAGGATCTGTACAGAGAAAGACGATAAGAAGGTGGCTCTTGCTTACTGAACATAACGGCTATAGATTAAAGTAATTCCAAAAACAACCCACAACTTGATCACTGCGTAAATATTTGTATGAAAATATTTTTCAATTTGAGCCAAAAATATTTGTGGTGAAAGCATTTGGCAAAAATCTTTATAGGCGTGGACCCAGCTTTATATTTTGTAAAATTTCCCCAACATCTAGCTCCATTTAAACATCTAAAAAGAAACTAGATAAAAAAACATCTAAAAAGAAACTAGATAAAATATCTACAAAATATACGTTACTACACTTTTAAAAATTCTATTGATACTCTTGCATTCTTGACTATTATTTTTCAAGTACTTCTAAAAAATAAATGCAGTTCAACTTTATTAACCACTTAACCACTCTGGAATGGGTTTTGTAAGTTTATTGTATGTGTACTAATTTTCTCTTTGATTTTGACCTTTTCTCTGACAGAAAGAAATTTTAGTTCAGACTTAATTCTGAATTGGTCCTCCACATTTGAGAAATGACCAGAAAGGCATTTGAGAGAGTGGTGCAAGGTATGAGAATTCCACAAAAGAAAAAATCGTTTGCAAGTAACATGTAAGTCATGTTTATAGAATCATTAGTTGTTTTTATTTTTACTTTCCATTGATTACAAAAAAATGGGTTAAATATTTACCCCCCCCCCCAGCAATGAAAGGTATCATGCTAACCCAGGAGCCCAGGAGATAGGAGAGGAAAGCCATTTAATAGAAGGCAGCCCAAGCCGGGACCAAAATTATTTATACAAAGAACTAGGGTTGTTTTTGTTTTAATAGATTTCTAAATTTAAAAAAAAATTAAATTGGGAAAATGTAGCAGAGATATGAGCACTGGTAATAAGGAGAGCAATGCTGGCAAACAAGTCGAGTTCAAGCATGTCCAACAAGAGAGAAAGTGAAAAGATGTGTCTGATTTTCCTCCTTATGTGCAACCAAAGCCATCCTGGATCAAGGGATCAGAATGGACCCCCTAACAACCCTGTTTCTTCCAAGATTGGGAACAGCGGACTTAGATACAAAGTGGCAAAAAGGAGGAAAATTTCAAAAGGTGGAGTTGAGATGGGGAGTTGGTGTGGTGGATCGAAGTCATGATAGCTCAAGTGGTAAAGCAGCGGCGTATTTAACTGAAGGTCGTGGGTTTGAATCCCGCTCGTGCCATTGACTTTTTTATCTCAACTTAAAACCTTAATTAATTGAATAAAACATTGAAGAAGATCATAAAGTTATTAATTGTCTATCACACTTTTTTTTTATAGTATTAACTTATTCTAATTACTAGTATTTTATATTATAAAATTGTATATCTATATTTTTTATTCTAATTGTTCCTCTAATGGAAAATTATCAATAAACTATTGTAATTAAGATAACTTTCAATTTTTAAAGCCTTTTGTCATTAGTTTACAAAAAAGATGATATGATGATGATTATAGGATTATGATGAAGAATCTGTAGTTTCCCCTGTTACGGCCATACGCTTCTAGCCGAGCCACGGCTATTGGCCTGTTGAGAACAAGAATGAACTCACCAATAACAGGCATGCTGACAAGATTTTTTTTTCCTGTTCGAGCCTTGGCCAACCCTACTGACTGACTTGTCACTGCCCGCACCTTTGCTGCTAAATGCCTGAGTTAAGCGGCCCATAGACCAATATTATTGCACAATATTTTGGGTTGTGCAATTTAATTGATCGTGTGTAGACGATATTGAAAGTTTGTGCAATACGTTGCATGATTGACGAAAAGTTTTAAATATATTGTACAACCTGAAAAATATTGCAGAATATGTTGGCATTATTGTGCAATATCAGTCAGGCTGTGAAGTACAAGTAGTAAAAAAATATTGCACAAACTTCAATATCGCCTTCAAACTATTCAAGTTCAATGCACAAATAAAATTTTGTACAATATTATTGAACTTTAAGGGGCAAGCGTCAAATTATTGTGTAATCTATATTGTACAATAATATTGATCGTCTATGGGCTGCTTCACCCCAAACAACACAAGTCATTGACCTTTTATTTATTTATTTATTTTTTTTTTTTTAAAGTAAGCCTTTCAATATTTTCTTCTACTTTTTTTTTAAATATTTAATCTAATGGGGGTCAAACCATGCTGAAAACCTCAGGAGATCGGAACTTAGAAATAGAATGTATGAAGGTCAAGATCAATGAGAGTATGCCGCCCACCCGATTCTTTTCAAACTCAATTTTTTTATTAATGAGGACAGTCAAGATATGGTGCGACAAATTGTCCACCCTGAAGTCGATCGTCCAGACACAGTACTATGAAGCCTTGACCTTGTCAATAAAGAAATATAAGAGTTCGTTTCACCAGCAAACTACTCAGTCTGCAGCACATTCTGTTCAACTTAGACTGCCGAGTTTGCGGCTGCCTTTGATGGTGACCTGATCAGTTGGTCGTCTTTCAGGGAAACATACACAGCACTTATACACCTGAACGAGGACTTGACATAAGTCCAAAAGTTTCATTATTTAAGAAGTGCTTGAAAGGGACAGCCGCACAGGTGATTTACTTCATCTGTATCACCGAGGTAAACTATCTGCAAGCCTGGAAAGCCCCTAAAGAGGTCTGATTGCAATTGCACTAAGGCAACAAACCACTTAACCCAGCTAGCTATTCAACTTTCTCCTCTCTCCTTTTTTTTTGTTTGAACCAGCCCTAACTGAAGTCGCAATATCCCCCAAATAAATGAGGGTAGTTTAATTTAAGTGAATCATACAGAGATTAAACAAACAAAAAAAAGTAAACAATATCAGGAATCTCATATTTTGGTCTCTACTGCATATAAAAATTCAGTAATATATCAAACTAAACATATTACACTATAATTTACAAGGAAACCTAGTTTTTGGAACTTTAAAACTTAAAATAACTCACTACATGCAAAATATATCACTAGAATGAAAAAGTCATGAAAAAACTACACTAAACTGACAAGAGTGTGTCTGTTTTACCATGCAAAACAAAATTGACATGACAAGTGAAAAAGGTTTCTGTTGTCATTGTGCAGGTCATGCTCCCATCGCCTGAGCATTCGCCACTCGTCTCTTACCTGCATCGCTTTAGGCATCCTTTGGGCCGACATTGTGATAGGAGACATATCATCAGGTGGGGCGACAGGCGTTGTGAGGCCAACAGCAGGGGTGCTTGTAAGCAGGGAATCCGAGGGCGTCCGACACGCCCTCGTCGGAGCGGCTGGTGTATAAAAGATTTCACCATCACTAACTTTACCTTCACAAGGCGGCGTTGTCGGAGTGTTTTCACTGCTCTCTTCGCCATAACTGGGCGAGCGTTTTTGCTTTTCCTCACCGCAGCTACCGAGGTTGAGTCGGAGTTTGTACGAAAGGGGAGTTCTGGGCTGGTTCTTCTTTTCCGGGCTCTGTCGGTTAATGCAGTTAGTAAATTTGAGCAGAAATGTTAAACCATGCACTGGCAAATTCAGTAGCAAAGGAGTAACAGTGAAGGGTAACACTCAGTCAGTCCAAAACGACGTTTATATTACTTACATTTAATTGTTCATCACTGGAACAAACTCCATTCTTCAGACTGGCAAATTCTGCCAAATATTTGAGCTTAGCACTCTGATTTTTGCAGAAAATATGTTTCTAAAAATATATGAAAGTTATGTAAATATTTATATTTATAAGGCATAATGTTACTGTATAATGTTTATGTACTTTGTTTTGTATAAATTTCTTTATTTGTTGCTAAATAAGCATTATTATTATTATTATTATTAATTTTATCTCAACCAATACCTTACATAAAGATTAACTAATTGAAAAAAGTTATTGGTCAATCGGACTACAAAATATAATGGATTATTATTGAAAAATGGCAAAAAGGAGGGAATATTCAAAAGGTGGGGTTAGGATGGGAAGTTAGTGTCCGAGTGGATCGAGGTCACGATAGCTCAAGTGGTAGAGCAGCAGCGTATCTAGCCGAACATCGTGGGTTCGAATCCCGCTCGTGCCATTGACTTTTTTATCTCAACTAAAAACCTTAATTAATTGTAATCTAATAATGGATTATTATTAACACTTGATTTCACTTGAAAATTCTTATTTTCAATTATATAAAACTATTTATTTTTACATCTGGGTTTGGGTGTAAAAATGTTAACCTCAGAAAATTGCCAAGATCAGCTTTTTTTTAAATATCAGCGTTTAAAACATTAGCCATGCCTCTTGAAATATATGTTGATGATTTTTTTTTTTTTGGGGGGGGGGAAAGAGGGATGAATAAAAAATATCAAGGTCTACAAACTAAGTCTGACACAATAACCACCCGGTCCCCCATGGACCACTAAGTCTGCCTAGATTTTTTTTTAACCCTATCATTCTTAACTCGCCCTACAACCCACGGTGAAAAGGTTCTACTACTCATGTACTTAATGTACATTCATATATTGCGGCCTCAAGACATTCTGCCGAGCTCGTGCCATCATTCATGCTAATAAATACATTAAATTCACTAATTTCATGGTCCGCTTGACCAATTAATACATTACAATTAATTAAGGTTTTTAGTTGAGATGAAAAAAAGTTAATGGCACGAGCGGGATTCTAACCCACGACNAATTGGACACTCCGATTACACAATATTTGAAAAATGGCAAAAAGGAAGGAAAATTCAAAAGGTGGAGTTGAGATTTTGTTGAGAAGTTGGTGCCCAAGTGGATCGAGGTTACGATAGCTCAAGTGGTAGAGCAGCGGCGTATCTAGCCGAAGATCGTGGGCTCGAATCCCGCTCGTGCCATTAACTTTTTTTCATCTCAACTAAAAACCTTAATTAATTGTAATCTAATAAATACATTTACACTAACTAGAAACTTCCTACTATATGTTCAATTAAAAATTTGGGAAGCACCGGAATTTTTTATCTCATCCACAACCACTCTAAAAATATATACTTAAAACTCTAACCAAGGCTGGTGGAGTACTGTATATTCCGCTACAGACCATCTACAAATTCATAAACATTCGCTCTAATAAATACTTTCTCACAGTATGGATAAAATTTTGGGAGTTACTAGGATATTTGATAATCCACCAGTCTCTCCCCGTTTCACTATAAACACTATTAACCTAAAAAACTAGACTAATTTGGTGCGTCTGTAGAGTATTCTGCCACAAACACACACTCACTCAATCTATCATGCTAATAAATACATTCATTTAGGGCAATAAAATAACTAACTTAGTCTGGTGTATCTACGGGGTACTCTATATTCCACCAAAAACCCACCCATTCATTCAAACACTTACACTAATAAATACATTCATTCTAGATGGGAAAACCGTGTGTGGAAAGACATCAAATGTGACTATCCATTCATCCGCTTCAAATTTTGCCATCATTGCTGTTGAATGTCTTTGAGAATCACACCTTGCTCAATTTTAGCAGCAGTAACCCCTATTCTGAATACACTTTCCGAATATGCATTTGCTGGATTATTACACGGATATCGCTCAGCAGTTGTGAAATGTATTTCTAATGAACTAGAAGTACCAGCAAGTGCATACCAATAAGAGTATTTCAGTAATCTGGGCACTGCACAAAAGGGCCTTTTATTTGTTTCCAATGCATTTTGACATATAACTCAAGTTCTTCAGGGTTGCTAGGAGTTAAAATAAAATTTCACACCAACACTGGATGTAAAACGATTTTTTTTTAACCAAAAATTTAAAGTTATAAATAGATAAAACAATATTTAAACTCCACCAATAGGAAGCATAATTAATAATTCATGATTGCTAGAATATAAGCAATTTGAAATTGTTTATTGAACAAATGAATCTATGATGAACAATAAGCCCAAAAATTGAAGATCCACAAATCTGTTAACAATAAGCAAATTTTAAAGAAAATAAATAAATAATACCTTAATTGAATCACCCAGACTCTTTGTTCTAGGTGTTCCCTGGCCATTTTCTTTGTTGAATTGCTTAATAAGTTTCTTTTTCTTACTGGATTCTGGTAAACCCTGAATGTGTGCATAAAGTTGTGCTAAAGCGGTTTCCGTTGGATTTACGTTGTTCTCCTTTGCCGTTCTTTCACGATCGACAAATGTGAAAACCGTTTTTGCCGTGGGGCCTTCACTTATACTTTTTTCCAGCTGTAAAGTAATGATTAATGATCCAATCAAATGTAAAACAAACATTCTCTGAGAAACTTTATCAACTTACCAGATTACAATTTTTACTATCCCAATAAGCCTTAACGTCAGTCGCCAACGATTGAGGTACGTCAAAAACCTTCAGACCTTCTTTTATCATGAAAACAACAATGCAAGAGAGGTTTTGCGCAGTGGTATGAAACACTTCAGGGGTCAACTAATTTAATTATAAAAAAAATTACAAATAATAATTAAATGGCTAAGTTAATTTATACCAACCTTTCTAGGACACAGTAGGTGAGGTGTAAACAGCGTTGCCAAGTTTTCAGCAGACATTCTATTCGTGCCAACATGGCTAGCGGTAACAAAAAGCAGTTTAAGAATGGCCTTTAAAATTCTTCTATTTTCATTTGGTAGTAGCATAAATAATAACTGGAGGGATCTTGACAGCTTAATTTCGGAGAAGTTTTTGTTCTGGTAAAGATCTAAAATATATATTTTTATTTAAATGCCAGCATTGTCAATAGAGGAAGTTTTATGTTTCAACTTCCTTTCCCATTTGAAAGGGAAGAGAATGGCCATTTTTCTACCTGCTATTTGACAATAAGCCGGGTAATAAGCTTCAGTTAACAAGGGCTCTGGAAGCTCAGCCAAGAAACCTTTTAAAACTGTAGCGACATCGTGTACAGAAAAACTTCCATCTTCTAAGTTGAATTTAGCACCTTGGGTAAGGAGCGATTTCAACTCCTGCTGTCTTGTCATCTTGCCACTTCTACGGAAAATCCCCTCTTGCGATACATCTGAAATAAAAGTGAATAAATACAAACAAATATTAACAACAAAAGTAAAAGTATAAAAAGAAAATCTAAGTCAATAAATTGAATCTGATAAATGTACATTATAATTCTACATAACATTTTCAAATTGTGATTTACAAAACAAAAACAAAAAGTGTTCAAACTTACTTTCTTCTTTGGTAAGAAATTCAATTAATTGATAAATCTGATTTATCACGTGTTTAGTAAGAGGGACACCTTCGACAGCCCCTTTAGATGGACCTCTGATTTTTTTTGAAAACGGTACAAAACTCCATTTCAAAGGCCATGGCTTTCCTTTTCCAGCAGGGCCATCAGTCCTGTAAGATGAAACCCAATTAGGAAAAAATGATTGTAACAGGAAAAATCAAACAGTTCAAAAAGGAGGGAAAACTCATAAAGTGGGGTTGAGATAAGAAGTTGATGTCCGAGCGGATCGAGGTCACGATAGCTCAAGTGGTAGAGCAGCGGCGTATCTAGCCGAAGATCGTGGGTTCGTATCCCGCTCGTGTCATTAACTTTTTTTCATCTCAACTAAAAACCTTAATTAATTGTAATATAGTAGCACTATTGATACAGACTGGAGGGGAAATTATAGCTGTACCTTTTGAAGTAATGTTCATTATATAGTCATTGTATCATTACAAAAATTGGTATTTATAAATTATATCTAATGACCATATCATTAACCAATCATAAGAAAAGTAACTGAATCCTTAAAAGCTCCAACTTGAGTATTAACAAAGTTTAACACGAAATCTTATAAATTGAAAAAGGTTTTAAATGTGTTAAATTCAGATATTATTCACTCTGTTTAATAATAAAATTTATATTTATTAAATTTGAATTAACTATTCTTTTTATCTTAGGTGAGATGAAAAATTTATTGTCATGAGTGGGATTCGAATCTACAACCTCTTGAGCTATCATGACAAATAATTTTGAGAAATAATTAGTATGGTCAATTATGACTGCTAAGCATATATGGATTAATTTTATTTATTAATTTTAAGTTGGTCTATTGAATGAAATGACAATAATATACCTTTTGAAGTAACACACTTTGCAGGATAGTTTCATATAATGTTCATTGTATAGTAATTGTATATATAGTCATTTGTATCATTAACATCATTGGTATTTATAGATCTCATCTATGCTTTTTGTGATAATCATATCAATCTTAAGAAAAGTGTGTGAGTCCTTGAAAGTACCAAATTGACCAAACTAAATCTTGTAAATTGAGATATATTTAAACTTTTTAGTTCGGTAATAATGCAAGTTCTAATTTTGAGTTAAATTGAAGTCCAATGAATGAAATTATATATTATTATTACGTAATGCCCTTACAAGCTTGTATATTAGTCCGAGTACATTTCATTGATTATTTCATCATATCTAATTGGGGGGAAGGGTTGCTTGAAAAAAGGGATGGGGGCGATGATGGGAATCGAACTCATATCTATCAACTACGAGCCGAGAGTCTATCATGCTGACCACTTAGCTACCGTGGTCACCTAATTATACATTATTGCACCTTTTGCAGTAATTGATTACATATAATGCTCATTCAATAGTCATTGCATAATTAGTATTGTTTGTATTTATAAATTGTATCTACTTTTTTTTAAAATAATAATAAAGGTTATATTTTGTATTAAATTTTAAGTTAAATTGAAGACAACTGAATGAAATTATAATAACTGTATAAACATGCAATACAAACATTACACATCAAGCATTTCTGTACTGATGCACTTTCTGTTATATAAGTAAATATTTGTAACAAATAAGAATTGAAAAAAAAAAGAAAAAAAAAGAGAGAGAGAGAGAGAGAAAGAGAGGAAAGGAAACAGTAGCCCTACTGATACATGGTAAAGGAAATCATAAAACTGCATTTTTTGCAGTGATAGCCACTACAGGGTGCATATAATGTTCAGTGTACAGTAATCGTACCATTAGCATCATTGGTATTTACAGCTGGTGTAATAATAGTATTAATGTTAAGAAAAGTGTGTGAAGTCATGAAAACACCAAACTGAGTGTTAACAAAGTTTAACACTAAATCTTGTAAATTGGGATAGATTTAAACTTTTTTTGTTCATTAATAATACAAGTTCTATTATACCTAATTTTGAGTTAAAGTCCAATGAATTAAATTATACTTTACTCTGGATTTTGCAAGGTAGTTTTATATAATATAGTCGTTGAATAATTAGGATCATTGGTATTCATAAGAAAAGCGATTGAATCCTTAAAAGCTCCAACTTGAGTGTTAACAAAGTTCAACACTAAATCGTTTGAAATAGGTAAAACTGAAATAGGTTTAAAGTGTGTTAGTTCACTCTGTTTAATAATAAAGTTTGTATTTTGTACTAATTTTTAAATTAAAGTCAACTGAATGAAATTATAATAATTGTATAAACATGTAATACAAACATTAGTGTATTGTTGTGTTTTCTGTTATATAAATAAATATTTTTAACAAATAAAAATTCAAAAAAAGGAAACAGTAGCACTATTGACACAGACTGTACAGGAAATTGCAGTAATAGTCACTGCAGGGTAGTTGCATATAACGTTCATTGTATCATTAATTATTATCATTGATATTTATACATTTTGTCTACACTTTTGTTTTTGTAATGATTATATCAATTATCATAAGAAAACTGCCTGAATCTTTAAAAGCTCTAACTTGACTGTTAACAAAGTTCAACACTAAATCGTATAAATTGAAATAGTTTTAAAGTGTGTTAGTTCACTCTGTTTAATAATAAAGTTAGTATTTTGTATTAATTTTTAAGTTAAAGTCAACTGAATGAAATTGTAATAATTGTATAAACATGTAATACAAACATTACACCTCGAACATTAGTGTATTGGTGGGTTTTCTTTTAAATAAGAAACTATTTATAAACAAATAAAAATTTAAAAAAGGAAACAGTAGCACTATTGACACAGACTGTACAGGAAATTATAATTGTACCTTTTACAGTAATAGTCACTGCAGGGTAGTTGCATATAATGTTCATTGTATCATTATTATCACTGATTTTTATAAATTTTATCTATTCTTTTGTTTTTATAATGATTATAACTATTATCATAAGAAAATTGATTGATTCTTTAAAAGCTCTACTTGAATTTTAACAAAGTTCAACACTAAATCATATAAATTGAAATAGTTTTCAATTCAAGTGTGTGGTTAAAAATAGTTCAATCTGTTTAACAATAAAGTTAGTATTTTGTATTAATTTTTAAGTTAAAATCAAATGAATGAAATTATAATAATTGTATAAACATGTAATACAAACATTACACTGCGAACATTAGTGTATTGATGTGTTTTCTGTTATAACAGATAAAAATTAAAAAAAAAAAAGAAACAATAGCACTATTGACACAGACTGTACAGGAAATTGAAATAATTATACCTTTTGTAGTAATAGTCACTGCATGGTAGTTGCATATAATGTTCATTGTTTCATTAATTATTATCATTGATATTTATACATTTTCTCTTTTTTGTTTTTGAAATAATTATCGCAATTATAATTTGATTATAAGTTTGAATACTTAAAAGCTCCAAATTGAGTGTTAACATGTCGATTTTGTCCTGTTCTCATTTAACAAAATTTTTCCGTACACAGTAAGTTTTTTTATTAACAAATATTTTAAATTTTTTATTCTAGTCAGTGGATAATGGCAAAACTCGTTGGTACTCACTCGTCGGAGTTGAGATCGAGGACGAAGGACAAGTGCATTCGGACCAGGGTCTGGAATTGGGCCGGGTCTTCGTTCTTCAATTTTTTCGTCAGACTGTCAACCGTGAAACTATTTTCGAATGACATTTTCGGGCAGAAGACGGCGGACGGAGGCAAGGCAACAAGTTGGTGGAGATCACATTTCAACGGAAACTACCGTTCGCCGAGTTTCCCGGCAGCAGTAGGTCGACAGTGGCCCTCGAAAAGCGGCCTTTTCATTTTTCCCCGATGAGAAACTCGACGATAATTTTGAAAAAAAAGCCGTTTTATCAATTAAAGCCGGGCAAAGGAAAACTGACGAGAATTCGAGTTCGGACCAACCGTCAACTTCACATTTTTTTTTTAAACCGACGGCAGAGCGCTCCTTCACCAACGGATCGCTTGTATTTTCTCCATTGCCAGATTACGATAAATCAGGTGGAAAATCGAAAATAAAAATTAAAAATTTTCCCCTTTGATTTTTCAGCCCCACAATTGCCTATCACGAAGAAGTTTTTCAAGCAATATTGTATTTTTTTCTGCTTTATTTTAAAGGCAGTGCTAGCGGTTGGATATAGATGTCTTAGAAATGGATCCCTGGTACTTAACAACCTCTAAGCAACGCTTTCTATCTTTTATCTTGGCGCTCTTTTTCTCCCTGGCCAATAGACGAACAAATTCTATATATATTCACATAGGGGAATTAAGTATTCAAGAAAATAAAATATGCAGTTATGATTCAAACCCAATGATATTGGTTAAAGCATGAAAAGGGTGTAACTCAAAAAGGAAATCATTAGTAATCTCCATTATTGCCTTCAGTTATTATTTCTCTTATAATAAAAAAAAAGATAACTGTACTAAAAATGTACTAACTGTAAAAAGAATCCTTCACTATATAAATATTCGATTTTCCGGAAAATAACGCAGGTTTTCATGTTTTCTTTCAAATACCCCTCGATATAACAAACTGTTTACGTTTGATAGATTATCCTTTTGTACGAATGTCAACATTTTTTAATCCTCTTCCAAACAATAATGTTTGTTTACCTCAGTAGCATTTTATAAATCACGTAATTTTGTTGTAGGAGTTTAAACTCTGTGCCCAAACAGCCAGAAATTGTAATAAAGTCTGGGGCGATGGCAGTGCGAGAGCACCGTTCAGAGATGGTTTCAAAAAAATCGAGGGGAGACTTTAGCTTTGAAGGCAAAGAAAGTTGTGGAAATATTTCTTTTCTAGATGATGTGTCTGCGAGCTTTTATCGAAAAAGTCCCAAAACAACGGTTCCGGAGAATTTTTCAGTTAACAAATTGACAAGTCGCTGACCACATTAAGGTAATTGGAAAGAAGAAAAAGCTCGAAAGCTTTCTGATGTATTAAACGACCATCAAAAAATTATCTTTATGAAGTTGCCAAAATAGAAACAAACTTTTTCTGGATAGAGTTGTTACTTGTGATAAAAAGTGGACGTTATGAAAACATCAGACGTTATGACAATGGAGAAACAGCACCATATTTTTTAAAGCCCCAACTCATCAAAAAAAAATCTGGTAGTGTCTTTTTGGTGGGATTCGTTTTAGCCGGTTTACTACAACTTCTTGAATCCTGGCAAAACGATCAATGCCGAAATGTATTGCTTTCGCATTATCACTTGAGATGTAAAGTCATAAGTCAGTTTGTGATCAATGTTTAATTAAAATGTAATAATTTAAAATATTTATTTACGCGGAGAAAAACTGAAAAAACGCGGAATTTGTGACGTATCCGTGTGGCATGTAGTACCAAGGATTGCCGCCAGTCTCTTAATATCCTCTTCGCCCTGGTAATTCCCAACCTTGCCAATTGCCATCTTGCCTTTCCAATTGGCACATTGGCAGTGTGAAAGCGGACGTTTCTCCGAACGCGATGGGATCAAGTAGTTTAATGACAAATACGATGTTTTTAAACAAAGTAAGTCTAACTCTTTTTTTGTAGCATAAAAGTCGAAGGCAAAGATCGAAGTGCACTGTCAGCCACCCGTTCTTCGCAGAGCGAGAGCACCAGACGAAGATATTTTACGAGCACGTTGACATTGTGCAAGGTCGCTCAAGACCCGTTATGCAATTGTTTATCTTTGTTTCTTTCTTGGCCAAAGTTCATTATGTTCTTTTTTTGTTTTACCCAGAGTAGAAATCTGTCTAGCGCTTATTCTTAGTTTCACCTCGGACCCTACACCACACGGAACCCCGGCCCTTAGCACACCATACTCACCACGTCTTTGGACGGCGTGCAAAGGAAATGTCATCATCGGACGGTTCCCTGCCAATTTCACTTCCACAGTGGATGAAGGCAAAAATAAACGACAGGTAAGACGCAAAAAGCTAATTTTTTTTTCTTTCCCAATCTTGTCCAAATTACAATATACAATTCCGTTCGGCGTTTTAACACGGCTAGACGATCGAATGTAACACTGCTAGAAATCAACTTGTAACGTGTGACTTCCAAGCTGTAGTTTTGGTGCTACAATCATTAGTTTTACTGATCACTGATTTATATAAAGGTTGCTCCAAATATGTGGTATTTGCCAAATGCCGATTATTTTCCAAGTCTCAAGATGTTCGTGTTGGCATTTGCCAAATAACGTGCCTGTTTATACAGTGTATACTATACATACATGCGCGGTTCCTACAACCACCCCATTTGTGCGGAAACCGAATATGTGCTGTATGTGCCATGTGATGGACAACAGTGAAACTGTAATTGCTGCAGCTTCTGTTCTGTTTTGAGTAGTGGCTGTTGCCTCATCTTACTTTCAGTCCGTTTCCACACATCAAAAACCTCGTTCTAATTTTTGTGATTCGGAAGAGATGCGTTCCAAATTATTGGTTCAGCTTGGTACAGATTGAGGAATACTTAGGATCGTTTATTATAGAAAAACAAATAGAAGTAATTATTAACTATTGATTGATTAGTTGATTTGGGTGCAGTACAGATTGCCAAATGTACGGATGGTTTGAGTTTGGCTACTTCACGAATATTCATGCACTTTGCAGCGGACAAGAAAATCGACAATAAGGCGAGCACCAAGTATCGTTGTTTGGCGACTAAGTGAGCACCCGTCCACACTTGGATTCGGCGAACCTTTGCTCAGCATTCTGCGAATTCCGCATGTCTGGAGTCACCTTAAGCTCGACTGGACATGTAATGTACCTTACATGCACACATGTATAGTTGAATCTAGAGGTGACTCCAGACATGCGGTATTCACCTAATGCCGCTGCTGAGCATTAGCCAAGTCTCGAGATGCTCGTCTTGTCGAACAGTGTGCCTATGTATATACATTTGCGGTTCATACAACCACCACATTTGTGCGGACACAGCAAATAAGTATTTGTCATGTGCCATTTGAGTCCTCAATGTACTCCAGTCATGATGGACAACAGTAAAACTGTCACTGCTGCAGCTTACTGTTTTGTGAAGTTTGCTACAATCTCAGTCAGAAATCAGTCATAGAGTACAGTTGCCCCATCTTACTTTTGATACATTTTTAAGCATTGAAAACCTTGTTTTGATGCAGAATAGAAACGATTCAAATTATGGGTTCAACTCGGTACAGATCGAGGAACTCAAAGACTTTAAAGTTGGGACAATCCATTCCTAACTGACAGAAACAACACTCTGATCTTCTCTCATTAATACATCTATACGAGTTAGGAATCGTTTATTATTGAAAAATAAACAGCAGTGTTGATTGATGATTTCAGTCCTGAATGAAGTGACAATGAAACCGACACTTAGCTGAGCACTGAATATGTCGGCAAATAACTGAGCACCACTAGTCGTGATTCGGCACCTTTGCTCGGCTTTCGGTGAATTGCGCATGTCTAGAGCCACCTTATGAGTTCTCACAGCCCGCTGGCAATTCTTGCATAGTGTAATTGGGTTGTCTGGAAAATGGTTATAAAATAAAAACAAATAAATCATTTTAAACATAAAAAAATTAAAATACCCTACATAAGTCTCAATTCACTTCTCCCAACGGCAACTTTGCTATCTCTGAAGATGATAATTTTGAGTCTTTATTATTAACAAATTCTGTAAACGTATTTTCTAACAACTTTTGATAAATAAATTTTTATGTTGCAAAAGTTGTCCAGGGGACTGAAAAAAATTGTGGTAGGTAGGCGAGAGGTCTGGAGAATAGGGGAGGTGAGGTAGAACCTTACAACCACAATCCAACTGTTTCATGTTGTCACATATTGGCCTGAAGCTCGTAGAACATCATCATCTCACACTGCCATCGCCCCAGACTTAATTAATGTTTCTGGGCGTTTGGGCACCGTTCCGACTGAGTTTAGATTCGTAACGAAAACATGAAAATCACACATTGACATCTTAGTAAAGATTGAATTATTTCCATATAATGAAATGTGACTGAGGTAAACAAATATTTTTGATTGGAAGAGAACTAAAAACAAGTTCTCTTATAGGGTTCCTACACACTTTATGGAACCAATGAATGAAACTCTCCAATTAAGTGTGACATAGCAACCTTTCTACTAGACACACGTAGGTATTAGCCCAGAAATAAATGTTTATGTGTCAACCTCGTAAGTACTGCTCTTAATCAGATGAATATCAGAATATCCCTCTTCTAAAATTCAGTGCCAACTATCGATCGGGCTCTTTCATTAGTAGAAGCTTCTTTGCCGATCCAACCCACTGACGCTGCCATTTGTTTTTTTGTCCATTTTTTTTTTTGTCTGAGGATGGATCACGGGGTCAGGTCTGGGGGTTGGAATATGATCTTAGCTGTCTTATCCACCTTTTTGTATACAGTTAAAAAAAGAGTTGAGGCTAAAGCACAAGCCCCACAGACTCCTCATGTCACAAGTTAGTTGAACTTCAATTCAGGGATATTATTGATTTTAAATTTATGTTGGAATATTTGCAGAATAGAAAATGCCAGTGTAAAGGCATATTGTATGATTATGTTATGTAGCCTCCTAAGGGCTGCATTTAAAAGGTTTAAAACTAAAGAACTAATGGTTGAAAAAGCACATTGTAAATCCTAGAGGAGTTTCGAAAGTCAAGTCGTAAATAGTCTGAAGGTGCAAGGTTAAGGTTGTTGGTTAGGTGCCAGAGAAGGTCGATTATTTCCATTGGTGAAAGCTTTTGCTTTTTATGTCTGAAAGTGTGTGGCCAAGTGTTGTAACAAATTTCCCTTTCTATTCACTGCCTATTCTATTCATATTGCCTTAAAAAAACCTCATTGCTGTAACTACAGTTTTGTCATTTGGATTATAAAGGAACTGGTTCAGCTTGTGAGGCAAACTTGTGTAAAATTTCCCTTCAGGCCTTTTTTTCTATCTTGTGTAAGTGGCTGAGCATACTTGACACAAGTACCTTGTTTGACTTGATGAGTGCTTTTTGAAGACAGGGCTCAATTGCTTCAAGCCAATGTTTACTTTACACTTCTTGAACCTTGCTTGAAAGATTTATAACACCACTTTCCAATTTTTCTTACCATCTCCTCTACACAATGGAAAATCTGATCTTGTACAGAAAGTTTTAGAATGAAATAAGTGTAATTTTAAATAGTTTAGTCGAAAATAAAAATTGTTTGTTTTCTTTACGAAACGAAACAACAGTCGTTAGTAATATCGGTAAAATGTGTACGTTTTGATAAGCATGAGGGTCAAAGTGATAGCTATTATCAGGGTTTTTACATTATGAAAATGATTACTCGGTCTGTGATGAGTAGTGTGATTATAATTACCAAACTCCGATAAAAACTAACTATTGTTTCTGAACTGAAATCAGTGTCATTGGTTGATTCAAGATGAGATAATGTTTCAAATTGTGTAGGCAGTGTTTGTAAAACACGGTGAATGAACAAAAATTTGAAAATTAAAGTGATAAAACAAAATTATTTTATAGATTTGTAGGGGGCAAGTAGTGAAGAAGGTCCTACTTGAATTTGTCATGCTAGTGGTTCTGGGTTTGAATCCTGGCAGAGCCCATTTTTAATAGATAATATGAAAAACGTATTGTAAAGTGGTTTGACCCCTCTTACGTGACATCCAACTACCTGTTAACCCTTCTGTTAGACAAATTATTTTACTTTTTTATATAACATGAATATTAATGGCTTTAATATGATTCAATTTTGTTTAATTTTTAACATAAAATACATAATAATTTAAAAGTTAAGCAAGAAAACATACAGATTTTGTTTGGATTTAATTTGTTTACAAAATTATCCTTTGGGAATTGTTATGTAAATAAAAAATATCCCATTTGTTAGTGAGGTTGTGTATATTGAAAACAGTGATTTCTCAGTTAGCGATAAGATTGTCTGTTTATTTATTTTAAAAAAACCTGATTTATTAGGACAAAAAAAGTTTTTCTCCCACTTCTTTTCAACTGTGCCTTGCCAACTTCCATTTTAGTTCAGACATAATTTGCAATTTTAATTGCGATAAAAACGCGAAAAATCATAGTCAAGTTGTACTTTAACAATCTATATAAATCAAGGTTTAATTTAATTTCACTTAAATAAAATAGTACTTTTATTTTCTTGTTTCTTTGATATCAGCACTTGCGAATGGTCTTTTATCTTTTGTTCAGTTTTCATGTGAGGTTTTTATACGGCCAAACCAGTTTCTTGGTTCGTGTTAATGAGATCACGTGATTATTTGTCTTCAATTCTGATAATAACCAGAGATTGCGTTTGGCGAATAAGAGTTTTTCTGTTTTAGTTATGCCTAGGAAACTATGTCAGTTTTTTAGGTAGAAGATATTTCTTGATATAATTTAAAGAGTAAAATAGAAGGGAATAGGGAAATTTAGTTTGTTCTTATAAAATAAAAACTGCCTTTATATTTAATAACCATCTTTATTTAATGCAAAAATGTTGTCAAATATGTCTTTGATGATTTTTCATTAGTTCATATTTGAGGATAATTTATAATAGAAATTAATTCTCTTAGTTTGTAAGTCGCTAATGATGATAACAAAAACAGTATTTTATCATAGTCAAATTTTTACACAATGTATGAAATTTTTTTGACCGTGTTGATGAAATCATGCGATTATAATATTCAAGCCTGATTAAAGCCTAGTAATGTGAAACAATAGTTTTTAGTCTATATTAGAAAATGAATTAATTATTAAGAAAGTCAGGTTAGTGGGTATGTGGAGACGTTAGTGTCAGATTCTTGACTCATAGACTCAGCGATGTTTGATTTCTACCATTGCCCCTGGAATTTTATTTTGTGCTCCCCTTCTCCCAAAAAATACACTAATCAGCATCAACATGAAGCAATTCTGTGGTTAATATGAATAAGGCCATTAAAAAAAAGCTATGCTAATTGAATAGTACATCAAATCTGTGCCATTTTTCAATAAAAATACTAAAATATTTTGCTATGTAATATTGTTGCTGATGATGATAAGCAAAAAAATTCAATGTCCTGACTTATGACATTACAGTGATTTGAGTTGGGTAACTGAACTAGCAACAAACAACTTTTAACAACTTGCTAAAATTTCAATTTCTTTCTAGGTTGATAGAACATGTGATTATATTTTGAAAAATGGCAAAAACGAGGGAAAACTCATAAGGTGGGGTTGAGATAGGAAGTTGATGTCCGGGTGGATCGAGGTCACGATAGCTCAAGTGGTAGAGCAGCAGCGTATCTAGCTGAAGATCGTGGGTTCGAATCCCGCTCGTGCCATTGACTTTTTTCATCTCAACTAAAAACCTTAATTAATTGTAATTCTGATTACAACTTGATTGATTCGATGTTTGGTGATTCTGAAGTTAGTACTTACAAAAACTAATATTAATACCACAAATATATCCTTAATAGCTGTTGCTAATGATGATAAGCAAAAAAATTCAATGTCCTGACTTATGACATTACAATGATTTGAGTTGTGTAACTGAACTAGCAACAAACAACTTGCTAAAATTTCAGTTTCTTTCTAGGTTGATAGAACATGCGATTATATTTTGAATATTCTGATAACAACTTGATTGTTTTGATGTTTGGTGATTCTGAAGTTAGTACTTACAAAAAATAATATTAAAACCACAAATATATCCTTAATAGCTGTTGCTAATGATGATAAGCAAAAAAATTCAATGTCCTGACTTATGACATTTCAATGATTTTGAGAATTGCAGCTGAAATAGTAACATCAAGTTTTAAGATGTGTTTATAACAAGAACAATAAAAATACTCGTCTAATTATTTATGACAATCAAATATTTCAATTTTTCTTATCTGTTAAAAATCCACATATCAGTTAATTTTTTACATAGTGAACTCCTTTTTTTCTTGGTATATGATGATGAGATCATGAATTACAATGTTCAACTGTGATAAAAGCCTGGTTAAATTTTGAATTTTCTTATAACTTCAAAAGATTGCGAAGTGTATAAAATAGTTAATTTTTTTAATAAAATTTGTGTTTAAAAAATCCCGTATTGTCACAGGTTTTTACTTGATGAATACCACTTTTTGGTCCGTGTTGATGAGATTATGTGATTATGAAGTGTATGTCTGAAAAAACCTTGAATAATTGCATAATAATAATAATTGCAAAACAAGCATAAAGAAATTTAACTAACTACTGTAAAATTTTTGATTTCATTCCAAAATTGAAGTAGCAAATCTAAGTATTAAAAATGTATAACAAGAACAATAAGAATACTCTAATTATTTATGACAATCAAAAATTTCTATTTTTCATGTGTTAAAAACTCTACATCGTTTTTACATAGTGAACATTAAAAAAAAATTTTTTTGATGAGATCATGTGATTATAATGTTCAACTGTGAAAAAAGCCTGGATAATTTTTGCAATAGAGGTTTTAATTATACCAGTAATTCATATGATTACTTATTGAGGTATGATATAATATCAAACTTTTGTGAAAGATAAAACATTGAAATTTTTGTAAGCATTCCTATTAATTATTTATTAATCATCTAAACTAGTTTTTAATATAATGCAGATAAGGCAAATAAGATAAAAATTATATGTGTTAAAAAAGAGTCACCATTGTCACAGGCTTGTACATGATGAATGCATTTTTGGTCCGTGTTGATGAGATCATGTGATTATACTGTGCAAGTCTGATTACAGCCTGGATTATATCATTAGAAAAGGTTGTAATTATGCCAGTGGCTCATATGATTATTTATTCAGTTTTGATTATAATTTCAAAAGATTTTGAGTTAATAAAATGGTTAATTTTTTTAAATTTTAATTTGCGTTTAAAACAACTGCAGTAATGTGACAGGCTTTTACATGATGAACACCACTTTATGGCCCGTGTTTATGAGATAATTTGATTATGAAGTGCAAATCTGAAAAAATCTTAAATAATTATTGCAAAAAATATCTTTAAAAAAATATTATGAACAAATTCACTAGTTTTCGTGGTCCGCTTGACCAATTAATATCTTTCAATTAATTAAGGTTTTTAGTTGAGATAAAAGAGTCAGTGTCACGAGCAGGATTCGAATCCACGATCTTCAGCTAGATACGCCACTGCTCTACCACTTGAGCTATCGTGACTTCGATCCACTCGGACACTAACTTCCCATCTCAAAATTTAAAAAAGGTGGGGTTGAGATGGGAAGTTAGTGTCCGAGTGGATCGAGATCATGATAGCTCAAGTGGCTACGCGAGTAGCCGGCATATCTAGCCGAAGATCATGGGATTGAATTCTGCTCGTGACACTGTCTTTTTTTATCTCAACTAAAAATCTTAATTGAAATTATGAATAAACGTATGCTGTCCTAGTTGAATAGTAGATTTAAATCTGTGCCGTTTTCTTCAGTATCTAGTACAAAAAAGGCTTAATATGTACGTTGCTAATGATGATATTCATCAAAATCAATGTCCTGACTTATGACATTACAGTGATTTAAATACTGTAGCTGAAATAGCAACAACTAATTATTAAGAATATCTGAATAAGTAGTATTTCTGGTTTCATTACAAAATCATTTTGACTAACGGGATTATTATTGACATTTTGATACAGGTTTTTGAATGCTACTTTTTGGACGGGGTTGTTGAGATCATGTGGTTATAATTTGCGAGACCGAATTAAACCCTCAAGTTATTGTTAAATAATAGTTTTAAATACAGTGCAGTCTTCATAATCCAAATTGAAAGGGTAAACCAAACATTAAAAAAAAAATTAATTTTTAAAAAATTCCTATATAATTTTATTTTTTTAAATCTTGCTATCATCCTATTTTGGAATGGTAATATTCATACAGTTCCCTTTAAATTTCATGAATAAATATGTTTTTTACTTTTTCGGTTTTGTAATTAGTTTGTTGAAGTGAGGAGCGGTCAAGAATGAGGTAGTTTAGAAAAACACCTTTATTTTTTTATTATTAGTGTTATAGTTTAGTTTATTTATTTTGTAATTAGTGTTTTGATTTTTTATGAATGTATAATATGCTTGCCATTATATTCATCCATACCAGCTGATTTTCAACCATTAGGTTTGATTACTGAAAATTCAGGTTAGGTGATAACGGTAATAAACAAAATAGTTTGCTTGCTGAAACTATACTAAATTTATAAATAATAAATAGATAAACATAGTTAAGGTACATTGGCAGTAGATCAAATCTGTGGTCTTTAACAACAAAATTATTACGACATTCTTAATATGTGTGTTAATAATTGTAATCTACCAAAAAAATTCAATGCCCTTATAGTATGTTGAATGAACAATATTCCAGAGAAGAGGGAGGAGGTGGAATCATAAATTCCAGGGCGATGGTTGAAATCAAACCTATGACTGCTGGGTATATATATCTATACAAAATGAGTAAAATACTCATAATATGTATGTTGCATAAAAATTCAATTTCTTGACTTTTGATGGTGTAGCTGAAATAGCAACTAATTAATTACTAAGAATATGCAAAAAAGTACTGTTTCTGGTTTCTTTACAAAATCATCATTTTCTATAACTAATTAAGGTTTTTAGTTGAGATAAAAAAGTCAATGGCACGAGCGGGATTCGAACCCACGATCTTCGGCTTGATACGCCGCTGCTCTACCACTTGAGCTATCGTGACCTCGATCCACTCGGACACCAACTTCTCATCTCAACCGCACCTTTGAATTTTTCCCTCCTTTTTGCCATTTTTCATTCCTTTTTTTTATCTCAACTAAAAATCTTAATTAATTATAATATATTAATTGGTCAAGCGGACCACGAAATTAGTGAATTTTCTATAACCGTTTGTTTTGGCAGTAAAATATTAATTTGTCTAGTGTGTTAACAAAAGCAGTCGTATTGTCACATGCTTTTCATGATGAATGCAATTTTTTGGTCTGTGTTGATGAGATCTTGTGATTATAATTTGCAAGACTGAAACAAAGCCTGAGGAGTAACGTTAATCAATAGTTGTAATATACAAAAATAATTATTTGGAGATTGTGAGATGCGATCTGGTGTGTCGTAGGTTTTAGAAAAACATTTTCCTTAACCTGCCAACGTTTTGGTCATTATTTGAGATTAAAACGTTGGTACGATAAGGAAAACATTTTTCTAAATGGTCACTAAACACCACACATTTCTATACAAAAATAAGAAAAATTAAAAACCTTACTGCCCTTAGTTTGGATGAATCAAATTTCTGCCATATTTATTTGTGTTTAACAAAATCAAGGCAAAACTACAACGTATTTTATTGCATATATAAAATGACGATGTATGGCATGGTGATTAGAATAATGTAAAAAAGTATCTGCAGTGCTGAACTAGCAAAATGCTAATCCTTCAGAGTGTGGAAATAGCTTCCATAAGCATTTTTTTGGTTTCTAAATGATTGCTAAAAACCCTGAGTCTTGCGAAATTATGGCTAAATAAATATTTTCAACCATATTTTGCGATGAATAAAATTCAAATTTTAAACCATTTTAATTTATCTTTAATAAAGCAAGATAAAACTATCCTTTTGATGCGTGTCAATGAATATATGAAAAAAAGTCCTGACTTATGACATTTTTATTTGATTTTGAAGCAAAATGATATGAAGAAGCAGTGTATCTTTGCGCAGAGTTATGAAAAACTGTGCGTCTGCATTTGTCTTTGAATTAATTAAGAAATCAAGTGTTCTTGAGTGACTGTATGTATCTGAAACGTCTGTGTGTATCTAGATTGGCTGACAGGTTTTCGAACCACAAAAGAATTAATGTGATTTTAATTGTAGAGTAAGGTTTGTTCAATTTTTATTGACATTTTGAAAATTATCTTCTAATGTACAGGGTATTGGGCTACTTGTGTTACAAACATTGCCAGTAGATTCTATATTTAAAATGGAACCAAAAATTCCTAATTGACTATGGTCCGAATCTCAACAGTTTCGGAGTTGTTCCAGTTTTTCTGATTTTTGACTTGCTTCAAATAAACAATGATAAATTCAAAACTAAAAGGTTTTGGGCAAATCTGTTGATAGCGTTGAAAACTACGTTAAATTTCCAATAAGATGGTGATCAATATTAAACTTGTAAACCTTCGTGAAATAAGCGCTTTAGTTGCTAATTTTTTTAATTTTTTTTTTCAAAGGTGAAAAATTTACTATGGTGATTTTAAACTACGATTTTCAAACCTAGAGACCAGCAATTTTCAGAAAACGTACTCCATTTGATATCCTTTTTATTGGTGTAACTGCTTTTATAATTACATTTTTTCAAATGTGAAGAAATTGATGAATGGAGGGGAAAAATCGTGGTTGAAGGATTGGTAAGGTGGAAAGATTAAATTTAAAGATTAAATTTTTTTTTTTCAAAGTTCTTACTACTAAACGCTTATTTCACAAACGTTTACAAGTTTAGTATTGATCATACCTTATTGGAAATTTAACGTAGTCTTCAATGGTATCAATGGATTTGTTCAAAACTTGTAGTTTTGAATTTATCATTGTTAATTTGATGCAAAGTCCATGAAATCTTATAAAAGCAGAAAAAGCTGAATAACTCCAAAACTGTTGAGATTCGGATCATAGTTAATTAGGACTCTTTGGTTCCATTTAAAATGTAGAATCTACTGACAAAATGTGTAACATAAGTTGCTGAACACCCTGCATAGTAGCGAAAAACCGAAACGGCAATTTAAATTATGCCTGTATATATTTTTTTACATGGTGGCCTAAACAAAAGCGCCGACCCCAAATTTATTCGGAAAATTATCAGAAGTGTAAATTATTAATCATAAGGGTGATATGAAGGGAATTAAAATATGATGGATGGGAAACGGTCAGTTATGTTTTTTGCTTGGTTTAAAAAATGGTATTGCACAAGTTTATTTCATATTTAATTGAGCATTTGAGTACTGATTTTGTGTGTTGAGTATACAAACTAAATCATTAAGATACAATTTTATTGTGTTATTATGTTGATGAGATCTTGAGATTATAATTTTAAACTCTGATTAAAGCCTGAGTAATGTTAAATAATAGTTTTTAGTATATATAAGAAAATGAATAAATTATGAAGAAAATTAAGCTATGCTAGGAGGGACAGCAGGGGTAGCTCAGAGGTTAGTGTCTGACTCCTGTCTCATAGGCTCTGTGTTCGAAGGGATTCTTTCCATTCTCTTGGAATATTATTTTGTGCTTCCATTCCTCCAAAAATTGTACACTAATCAGCATCAACATGAAGCATTTCCCTGGGTAATATGGATAAATTAAGGCCAGTAAAAAAAAAAGCTAGGAAGTGGAATAAAATTTTTCTTATGTTTTAAAAACCCAATTTTATCATATAAAACATAGTGAACTCATTTTGTTTTGCCCTGTGTTGAGATCATTTGATTGTAACGTTCAACGAGGATAAAAACCTGGTAAATTTTTGAGTTTTGACATAACTTCAGAAATTTGTGAAGTTTATAAAATAGTTAATTTTTAAAAAAAGTTGTGTTTAAAAAACACCATTTTATCGCAGGTTTTTACTTGATGAATGCCACCTTTTGGTCCGTGTTGATGAGATCATTTGATTATAAAGTGGAAGTCTGAAAAAACTTTGAACAATTATTGCAAAACAAACATTGACAATTTAATTAACTACTGTAAAATTTTTGATTTCATTCGATAATTACAGGTGTTTCTCGCTTGTCATGGTACTGAAATACTTCAATTTTTTTCTTTTCGTGTTAACAAAAACACCATTTTATAGCAGGGTTATACTTGATGAATGCCACCTTTTGGTCTGTGTTGATGAGTTCATTTGATTATAAAGTGGAAGTCTGAAAAAAACCTTGAATAATTATTGCAAAACAAACATTGACAATTTAGTTAACTACTGTAAAATTTTTGATTTCATTCCATAATTACAGGTGTTTCTCACTTGTCATCGTACAGAAATACTTCATGTTTTCTATTCGTGTTAACAAAGACACCATATTATCGCAGGTTTTTAGGTGATGAATGCCATTTTTTGGTCCGTGTTTATGATATCATGTGATTATATTTTGATTTGAATGTTCTGATAAAAACCTGATCAATTTGGTAATGATTGGTGGTTCTGAACCTAATGCTCACATAAAATAAAAATAAAACAACAAATATACCATTAATGTATGTTGCTAATGATGATATGCAACAAAATTCAATGTCCTGACTTATGACATTTCATGATTTTGAAAGCTGTACCTGAAGTAGCAGCATATAGGTTTTAAGAATGTATAACAAAAACAATAATAATACTCTTGTATAATTATTTATGAGAGTCAAATATTTCAATTTTTCTTGTGTAACTACTTTAAAAATTTTGATTTCAGTCCATAATTACAGGTGTTTCTCGCTTGTCATGGTACTGAAATACTTCAATTTTTTTCTTTTCGTGTTAACAAAAACACCATTTTATCGCAGGGTTTTACTTGATGAATGCCACCTTTTGGTCCGTGTTGATGAGATCATTTGATTATAAAGCGGAAGTCTGAAAAAAACCTTTATTAATTATTGCAAAACAAACATTGACAATTTAGTTAACTACTGTAAAANTTTTTTTTTTTGTGTTATCAAAAAATACCGTATTATCGCTGGTTTTTACATGATGAATGCCACCTTTTGGTCCGTGTTGATGAGATTATTTGATTATAAAGTGGAAGTTTGAAAGAACCTTGAATAATTATTACAAATCAAACATTGACAATTTAATTAACTACTGTAAAAATGTTGATTTCATTTCACAATTACATGTGTTTTTCGCTTGTCATGATACTGAAATACTTTTTTTTTTGTGTTATCAAAAAATACCGTGTTATCGCTGGTTTTTACATGATGAATGCCACCTTTTGGTCCGTGTTGATGAGATCATTTGATTATAAAGTGGATGTCTGAAAAAACCTTGAATAATTATTACAAATCAAACATTGACAATTTAATTAACTACTGTTAAAATCTTACAATTATCCAAGGTTTTTTAGTTGAGATAAAAAAGACAATGGCACAAGCGGGATTCGAACCCACGATCTTCGGCTAGATACGCCATTGCTCTACCACTTGAGCTATCGTGGCCTCGATCCAATTGGACACTAACTTCCCATCGCAACCCCACCTTTTGAACTTTCGTTCCTTTTTGCCATTTTTCCCATGTTGAGATGGGAAGTTGTGTCCGAGTGGATCAAGGTCACGATAGCTCAAGTAGCAGAGCAGCGGCGTATCTACCCGAAGATTGTGGGTACGAATCCCGCTTGTGCCATTGACTTTTTATCTCAACTAAAAAACCTTATTTAATTGTAAGATATTGCTTGGTCAAGTGGACCATGAAACTAGTGAATTTAATAGTGTAAAAATTTTGATTTCATTCCATAATTACAAGTGTTTCTCGCTTGTCATCGTACTGAAATACTTCAATTTTTTTTTATGTTAACAAAAACACCATATTATCGCAGGTTTTTACATGATGAATGCCACCTTTTGGTCCATGTTGATGAGATCATGTGATTATATTTTGAATATTCTGATAAAAACCTGATCAATTTGGTAATGATTGGTGATTCTGAACTTAGTTGTTACAAAGCATTAAGAAGACAAGTGTACTCTTTAAGGTCGATTCATATCTACCATCACAGAGCGTGTCCATAGCATGGTAGACACAGAAAACATCATTACATACTAAACATAGGAACGTTCATACTTAGCGCACGTGCAGATACATACATACCAGCACCGGGCAGCATTGTCGCCGAGAATGTTTTGCTTTGATGGGCAAGATTTGTGCAATTCCAATAGCTTTGGTGCCTACCTATAATAAATTGCATTATAATTTGATTATAATGTCCAGTCTTGGTAAACCGTACTTGCGCTAGTCCGAATTCGGGCTAAAATCGAATCGCCGATCAGTATATATTCAAGATTTTTAAAAAATATGTGTAATAATAATATATAAGAATATAAATAATAATAATATTATTATAAGAATATTATATATTATATGTGATGAAATGTACGTAATTTGTAATACACGGACGTGGAAAGGATCCTGTCCATTGATTTTCTGAAAAATAGTTTGTTGGTCTGTAGGTGACTGTTGCTGTGACTAGCACATAGTATAAATGCTAGGTATCTGTGCCGTGTCTGCCACGCTATGTGCTGGTAGATATGAATCGTCCTTAATATGTGTGTTGCTCATGATATGCATAAAAAGTCAATGACTTATGAACTTAAGTGATTTGAGAATTGTAGCTGAAATAGCAACAAGGAATTATAAGGACATGTAATTAACCAGTATAAACATTTATGTATCATTATAAATCCAAAATTGTTTCTGGCTAGTGTGCTAATTCCATTTTTAATTTTTCTTTCACCTTAATGAGTAATCAACACTTTGTCGGTAATTTTTTTGTTTCAGATAAATATCTTATTAAAAAAAGAGTTTAATTTGAAGTCTTTAGATGATGAATACTTACTCTTGGTTCGTGTTTATGACACTTTGTGATTATGTGTAAATTAAATTCTGATAAAAACCTGTTTAATTAAAATTTATGGGTAGATTCTTTGCTGCCCTGTTTTATTTAAAATAAAATTATTTAATTATTCTAAACACAATTTTGTTGGATGTATGGGTGTCAGAGAAGGGTCAAACCATTTTCTAATACATTTTTTATACTATTTTCAACTAAAAACCAAGCGCTACAGTGCTACTAGCAAATATGCGTCGGGCACCTTAACCATTTAATAATTTACAAAATATCAAATACGTTACATACATTACCCAACTTAAATACTTACATCTTTTGTTTTGTTTGTCTTTTTCAGATACGACCTTGACCAAACAGCATTTTCACCTCCAAGCAATGATGACGACTTCTTTTCAATCCGCTACAAAAAATCGACAATAGAAACTGAAACGAAAATTACCGATAGTAAATTAGCAAAACCCCTGACAAGCATGGTTGCGAGCAAAATCAATCCAAGCCAGTTCGTCGATGATCCGAGTCAACATACCATCCCCTGTCAACAATTTATTCCAAGGGCTAAAATATGTAAGTTAATTGTATTTATATATTTCATTTTCAATAAATAAACTAGATTTTTTTGGAAAAATTGACCACATTAATAAGTTACAATTAGCAAGGATGTTTTAAGCTATTCCATTTTTCTCTTTCACTTCCATTTACATTATTAATTAAATTAGTACATTTGGTGGTCATAATTGACCATATTAATTATTTTAATTAATTATTCTTTTTAAGTAAGGGCTTTGGTTGGGATGAAAAAGTTAGTGTCACAAGTGGGATTCGAACCCACGACCTTTGGCTCTATATGCCACTGCTCTCACTAACCACTTGAGCTATCAAGTCTAAAGTTAGTTTCACGATAGCTCAAGTGGTTAGAACATTGGCGTATTGAACCGGAAGCCGTGGGTTCGAATCCCGCTTTGGACGCTAACTTTTTCTTCTCAACTAAGACCTAAGATAAAAAAATAATTAATTGAAATTATTCATTAATTAAGTTAAATCTGTATTTATAAATCTACTGATTTGTACACTCACTGCCAAAGTATGTATTCCGCTCATTTAGAAGTTTTCTTTCATCTTTATTTGATTGATGTTATTGAAGAAATCAAACTAAAATGTGGCACAAATATGTGTGTTTACATTATCTTGCATAAAAAAAAGTTCAAGAAATAATTAATTTAAACTGGAAAGTTGATCTTGAGTAGAGTTTAACTGATTTTTATTAAAGAATCCAAATATTCTGTAAATATTAGATTCAGTCAAGACTAGGTGAATGAGGTTATTTTTTTTTGGGGGGGGGGAGATTGGAGAAACGGCATTGAATTAAAAAAAAAAGGTAACCATAACAAAGTATTAAATATTTGGTCTCAATACATCAACTCTCAGAAAGACAGTTTATGAGCAATCAAGGAGTGTTAAATTAAAAATATTCATGATGAAGAAGAAAATCTATGTAGGTGTAAGATTTTTTTTTTTTTTGCATGTGAGTGTAATTTATTGTTATGTATCAGTTTCTTTCTTGTGGAGTGATTGTCATTGTAAGTTAAAATTATGAGAGTTCTCCATGCTGTATGAGGGGTGATGAACCTGAAATGTGGCCGTTATCGATCATGTTGGTCTGCCTACTTTGGATCCAGCAAGAATAAGATGTTAAATCTTATCACATGCAACTTTTGTCTAGCTGAAAAAAAATTTAAGAATTTTTTTTTTACAATATCATGTGTAAATTTGTGGTAACAGCATAATTTGAGAATACATATACATATTTACATGGTCGTATTGAGAGGAGTAAATAACCAATATTATTCTTCCTTTCACTTCACTAATTGAGCTCCACTACCTATTTGTCAGAAAGGTTGCGGAGCCATTTCCTCTTGAGAGGCTTTACGGGGTGGGTTCTGTTTGGACTTCGGCGAGATTATTAGGGTGATGGGAAAGATTATTGTGAAACTTTGTAAATTTTTGGATAAATGAAATTTTGGTTGGTGAGAGTTGGATATAATACGGAGAATTTAAAATTGATCTGAGTACTTTAGACTGAAAGGAAGGAGACATTCGATACTGAAAAGTTTAGCGGTTCCCCACAGTTCTGTACCATACGTCCAAATCAGTTGTACATTTTGTAGATTGTGAGTTTGTTTTGGTCAGTAGGTTGGATTGTTGTCTTACATTAAATTAGTTCATTTAGTAGTCATAATTGACCATATTAATTATTTCAATTAAGTATTCTTTTTAAGTAAGGGCTTGGTTGAGATGAAAAAGTTAGTGTCACAACTGGGATTCGAACGCACGACCTTTGGCTCTATACGCCGCTGCTCTCACTAACCACTTGAGCTATCGAGACTAAAGTTAGTTTCACGATAGCTCAAGTGGTTAGAACATCTGCTTTAGACTGCAAGGATTGGAGACATTGGATATTGTAAGGTTTAGCGGTTCCCCTCAGTTCTTACCGTACGTCCAAATCAGTTGTAGCATTTTGTAGATTACGAGTTCGTTTTGGTTGATAGGTTGGATTGTTGACTTACAAATTTGTAAAGTAGACCATAGCTTCTGTTTAGGTCTTATTCTTTAGTCGCTGATATCATATTAAGCATGAGTCTAAGTGAACCAAAGGCAACAAACGCAGTTAAATTTGGGGATAGGAACTTTGCAAATTGTAAGAAGAATGTGACATGGACAACTTGCTTTCATTTATTTTTGTTCACACATGTATCATTTTCATGTGTCACCAGTCTGCTATACACGTGATATATCTCTGCAGATCTTCTGAAACAACTGTTGGATTGAGGACAGAGGATGGTACAGTCATGTCATTAGTAAAGTTGCGAAGGTAGTGGTTGTCTGCAGTATAAAGAATATAAATAGTTGGTCCAGTTACACTGCCCTGTGGTATTCTTGTGGCCATTTCAACCTTTTCCGGCCTGATTTTCCGGTGCTAAAATGCGTTCCTCATTCGTTGGAAAATGTGTGACCCCCTTCCAGCTATTTTTTATGTTATGCATAAAATTCCAATGCATTCACTTTGTATCACTTTTACTCCTTTTATGTTGCATTAGTTCCATTCAAATCGATTTGACACTACATTCATCAAATATTATACTTTACAACAGAAGTACAGAAATGTANTGTTAAAGTATGTTAAAATCTAATAATAATAAAAAAAATTGATGATTGATTTGCTCAACTCTTCATACATATAAATGCAAATGGGTACAGAGTTGACTAAAAGTATACATAAATTATATGAAAAAGGACAATAACAAATAAAAATACATTTCAAAAATTTCTGTGAACTTTAAACTAAAACTGAGGCCAATTGACAGACTAGAGGTGAAAAATCAGAAATAAAATAGAGTAGGTGGTATTGCTGAGAAGTACAAAAGTGCAACGTTCCCAATGAAACATGGATATTATGGCTGAATGGATTTCCAGAGGAAAAAAGTATCACAATTTTGCAAAAGTTTGAGAGAAAGAGGGGCCAGATTGTGAATAGAAAGGGGAAAAGAGTGGCTTGTTGATGATGAGGAAGGGAAATGAAGGGTGTAATAGGTCTCCTTCACCACTGAGGTGTCTGCTACGAGTTAGATACAACCTCAGTCCAATAGATGACGTGAATGTCCAGCTGGGGTGGCTACAAAAGGTAAAAAATCATGAGGATGAGATACCTCGTCACTGGGCTTAGGGAGCATGCTAGCCTGAATGAGATATCTCATCACTAGCCCTGAAAAGGTTAGAAAAATTATTAGAAACCAAATTGTGAAACTTGTGTTATGCAAACTGAATGTGTTTCTAAAGGAAGATAGGGGAGTAGGATAATCAAGAAACATCTATTTGAAAAACTAGTTTTTCATTGGCCTTATACTTATAAATAGCCAGATGTTCATTAATATTTTTTTGTATTCATATTTTTTGAGAGGGGGAATGTGAAAGAAAATTTCATGGGCAATGGTGAGAATCGAACCCATGACAAAGGGATCTATGAGCCAACAGTCGTTCTTGCCAACCACTTGGCTACCATGGTCTTCCTACTTCAACTCTGGTGTATTTTGTTTTTTTAACCATGCAATTTCATGAAATATTTCTTCTTTGCTTGCTAATTCATATTAACATTTACTAATTTAATTAATGAAAATAAGTAAACAAAATTTAAAAAATGCGTTTTCTTTTAGTTAGGTAGGATAATGGCAAATGCTTTATTTTTCCTGTTTTTTCTAGCTAATGGCCTTGACAGTTATATTCTACATATTATACAATACACTACATACATATAAACTCTAAGATTGTTCTATGTAGTTCTTGAAGCGATGAACCCGAAATGTGCTCGTTACCGATCATTTTTGTCTGCCTATACTCGCTGCATCTGACAGATTTCAACATTTAATTCAATTCACTGGTTTTCGTGGTCCGCTTGACCAATTAATATCTTTCGATTAATTAAGGTTTTCAGTTGAGATAAAAAAGTCTTTTTTTACGACTTTTAAGACTTATCTCAACTAAAAACGTTAATTAATTTAATTCAGTATTAAGATATCAGTAGGTTTATTTTAAGATTGCTATTGGTAAAAAATGTAGGTTGTTTTCTACTCAGTTGTCATAAAATATATTTCATTTCAAGATTATTTACTTAATTTTAAAAACGGTTTAAAGGTTGTTGCAAAAATTGGACTCACATACTGGACTATTTCCAAAAAAACTACTTTTACCAAAGCCATTGCAATTCACCTACTTTTTAACTGATAGTAAATCGATGGTGATTTACCTTTATACCGTAATAGTGGCAGTTCAAGGCAAAGGTCTGTTATTATTAGAAATTGACCTCAAATTTTTTTCCCCTTTTAATCATTGAATATTCCAATAAAATGGTAAAACAACATATCGTTCATAAATGCCAACCAAGCTTTACAGCTTTTAAAATTTTCAAATTGCTCATATTTGCTTCTTAACAAATAGAAAATAGTTCTGTGTATTGAAGTTTATTAGTTCAACATTGTAAAATTTAAACTGTAAAGCCAGAAGAAGTATATAATGAATTTGAAACAAAATAAATATAAATTGCTATTGTGAATAAAAGAGAGATTTATAATTTACATACAGGGAAGTTAAGGTTCATTGCCTTGTTACATACATTAAACATATTTGAGGCATTATATAATCATTATAATAGAATTAGGACTTTGCTAGTACTGGCTAATGAGTTGTTTATGTACCTTTTTTTTTGGCCAGACATACATATCAAGCAGATTTGTTTACAAGGAATTGGCAGCTTTAGTGTTAAAGACACATACATTGCTGTTGACACACATTTTCATTCATCGCAAAGTTCTTCACCTAAAAACAATCTGCCAAGTCCCCCCACCTACAAATTGAAATCGTTGCTACTTCCAACCTTGCTCTTGACTATTAATACACCTCAAATCCTTGAACAAGGCGTGAAAAATGATTTTCTTTGAAATTCAAGAAAAAGATAATAGAATAATGTTAAACCATGCTTGGATTTCGTTCGGATCTCGACTTAACGCCTAATT